AAAAAAAAAAAAAAAAAAAAAAAAAAATAGGAAAAGAAAGATAGAAAAAAAACGAGACGATGAACAAATTTTCCTGCTATAAATTTAGTTTTTACCTACAAAGAAACAAAATTATAATATATAATACATACGCGTACAAGTTACTCGATACAATAAACTATCCGCGTGTGTGTGTGTGTAAATTCGCATTTATTCAAAACTCACGAATTTAGACAAAGGGGTGGGGTAATGGGGTTGTTCGAACGTTTGAAAAAAAAAACTACGACGAATGAAATAAAAAATGACTCGTCGTATTTCTAATCGTTAGTTAAATTCATACGCATTTCTACCCTTCCCCTCCCCCCACCCATCGTGATCACCATATCGAAATCAGAAAATTTATTTCGTTATTAGATTCGCTTCGATATATCACTAATTAGTCCTCCCCACCACCATCACCACCACCATCACCACCACCATCACCACCACCACTACCACTACCACTACTATTCATTATTATTAGATTAACCGCGATTTCCAGTATTAAATTATGTTCATGCATAAACCATAAATAGAAAGAGAGAAATCGACGAAACCGATTTCAGAATAAATCGGCCGATGAATTTATACGATAAATCGAAATAAAGTCGAGTTGAGTACAGGGTTTGAATGGGAGGGGTGAAGGGGGAGGGAAGGGGTAGATGATGAGTCGATCTTATCCACGAGAATCGAAACTAACTTTGTCTCTTTGATTTATGACAGAAATCAGAATATATCTTCTATGGTGTCTACGTACTCAGATAGCGGAATGGGGGATGGGACTGTGGGGGGATGAGGATTTACCATAAAATATATTACTCGTCGTATCGAAATATAATTTTCTACAGGAGTGTCGTACATTTTAAAAATCTTTTTATCGATAAATAAATAATAATATAAACTAAATGCGGAAAAAATAAAATAAAATAAAATAAGAAGAAGAAGAAGAAAATTATTTGAGTTGATAATTTTATTCATATAATATAAAACAATTGAAAGGGTTAAACACATACTCAAGGGGGTTGAAAATTTAAATGCATTATACCTATTTATTATTATTGTAGATATGTATCACAATTTTGAAACAATTATGAATAATTTTATCGATTATTGGTTATGAAAGTATGTTAAAGAAAAAAACAAAACAAAAAAAGATTGGCCAGGTAAGAAAGTGAGATAGGGTTGGGGTAGGGAAGAGGGGTATAAAAAAAAAACAAAGTAAAGGAAGAAAATTGTGAGTATGAGAAAGAAAGAAAGAGGATTAATGGCCGGACAAATTCGCGCCTGCTAATAAGCGAAACTGGCACGAATTGAAAAAGTTTTTCCGGCGGAAGGTTCGCGTGTAACGTAGCGATAAATCGTAAGAAGACGTTGATGGCGAACAACCTGGCTTGGATATTGCGCGTTTAACCTTAAGGGACGGTTTTCTATAGGGTGACCAAGAAATTTCACTTTAATATATTTTATAGGATAATTTTGTTAAATCGTTTTATCGTATTCAAATGTATACTTGTAATATTCAACGATAGGTGTTATACTTAATTTGTTTCTAAATCTAAATTAATTAATTTAATTTGTAATTTATATATATATGATTATAATAGAAAGATTTAATAATAATAATAATAGATAAGAATATATATATATGTGTAAGTAATGAATTAATTTTATTTATACGGATTGATATGATTAACGTTAATATTGTTAAGTAAAAAAGAATATTTATTCTCTATGGAATAAATTAATTATACTAAGGTATTATATTAAACAACCTTTTACATAGAAAGAACATAAATACTAAGTAAAGAGAGAGAGAGAGAGAGAGAACTCTTACGATTAATGTTTTGTAGTATAGTATTCACTAGTTTGATCCAAACACACCCTGTATACCAATATCCGCACCTTGCACGGAAATTATACCGTAGGGATGAATACGAATCTAGGCTAGACCGTATCATTCGTGAAACGTTAGACCACAAGGATATTAATGAAATACGAAATGCCGAATGAACCCTGTATTTCTATTTTATAAAATGATAATCTAAATATAATGTTAGAAATAATTAACTTACAATTCATTTATTCTAATTTCTCTTTATATAAAACACTAATAAATCTTTTTCAATTATTATATTTCTTTACTTTCCTTTTTTAATAACCCTGGTTTTTTATTTTTTTTATGACGAAATCAACAAAATGTATAATTTTCTATAATATAAATAATACCTATTAATATACAAAATGTGTAGAAATATATATAGATCAAAAT